ACCCTCTTCTTGATTTTGAACCATGTAGTGTCTCCTTGCTCTGTTCTGACAACTGCCTCTTGGTCCAAGTATAAGTTTCACATTAGCACAATCAAATGTTCTGGAATTTGCATTCTTCTCAGATTCAGCCACATCTTGTTGTAATCCACACTGTCAAAAGCCTTTGCATAGTCAATGAAGCACAGATAGATATTCTTCTGGTATTCTTTGCTTTCTGCTAAGATCCATCTGACATTAGGTATAATATCCCTAGTACCATGACCTCTTCTAAATCCAGCCTGCACACCTGGCAGTGCTCTGTTGATATATTGTTCCAAACGTTTTTGGATAATTTTCAGCAGAATCTTGCTTGCATGTGATATCAATGATATTGTTTGATAATTTCCACACTATGTTAGGTCACCTTCCTTTGGAATGGGAACAAATATCGATCTTTTCCAGTCAGTGGGCCAGCTGGCTGTTCTCCAAATTTCTTGGCTCTACAAAAACCCTATGTACAGTAGAGCACACTTAGGCCCACAGAGGAATGAAAAAATTTTCCCATTTGTCCTTGTCACTCATATAGCCCTTTGCTTCCTAGTTATTACATAAAATTTTTATTATTATAAACAACCTCTCAGTATTTCAGTTCCCCTGTAATGATCATCATTGAAGAGAGGACTTCATTATGGGATGAAATTGTTTGTATGTATGTATGTATGTATGTATGTATGTATGTATGTATGTATGTATGTATGTATTTATAAGTATCAATCTAGCTCTAATGACCTGGTGAGTAGGGAATTGCACCGCCAACCAAAAAGTAGACATATAGTTCTAATCAACTAGCTTCTCTGTGGTAGAAAGATAATTTACTCTTATATAATTTACATCTGCTGAAAACCAGGTCTGACTCAATGTAAGTGAAATTTGTGTTTGTATTTACATATATAGATATGTTGTTGTTGTTGTTATGTGCCGTCGAGTCGTTTTCAACTCATAGCGACCCTATGCACAACAGCCCTAAACCCTGCTCTATCCTGTGCTGCCTCTGACACACCCATCCCTATTACCCCAGTCACCGAATCAATCCATCTCATAGAGGGTCTTCCCCTCCTGCGCTGTCCCTCCACCTTCCCAAGCATGATGTCCCTCTCCAAGGACCCGTCCCTCCTGGCATACCTATATAGATATAGATTAGATATATAGATATAGATATAGATGATATAGATATATCTAGATATAGATATAGATGATATAGAGATAGAGAGAAATAAATGTATATATATATAGATAGATACATATTTTCTTAAGGAAAATTATTTTATGGCTTTACACTTTTATTGTGATTTGAGAATTTTTATTGTGAAAGATAATACAGCAAATTGATTTACATTCAATAACTGACAAATGTTTTGTTCTAACACCATTAATTCCTTTCTCCTTATGTTACCGCTTTCCATTAATATTTTTCTTTTCCTACCTTCTAAGCTTTGTCTTGGGAAAAATCTACCCTTTTTATCTCACATGGTTGGTTGTTCTAAGGAGAGTGAATCCTCCTGATTTTACTGTTTATTTCAGAGGTCTACTATTTGGTTGAAAGTAATAAATTTAGTTGCAGGCTTAAAGGGACTAGAGTTTGTATTCCCAGAGAGAGGAAACTATATTGACACTTTTCTTCATAGAATTTAATTTCTTATGGTATATACTATATTCAGAGGACTTTCTGAATTTATTAACAAGAATTTATGAAGTGAACAATGGGTATTGAGGATAGCTAAAACCTAATATTTATAAACAATCATGCACATCAGCTTTTCCACACATTCTCTTCCTTTGTTCTATCCAAGCTGGAAGATGAAGAACAAACATAGATGTCCTTTCCTAAGCCTTTGTATAAGAGCATGAAAAAGAAACACAATGAATGTGGGTTCTGATTATGCGATAAAATTTTTTAAGTGTATCATACTATACACATAGGGATATATAAACATCTCAAAATGTATTTAGATTTTAATAAAGGAACTTAGAAGAGAACATAACTCTTTTTTCTTTCATGTTACTTTACATTTGGTACAGCTACTGTAATTTTAAGGGAGCTCTGAAAGCTTAGTGGTAAATAATTGCATGCAGCTAACATATACCAGCTGTGCGTGGGAGAAAATGAGCAATCTCCTGGCATGTGATTTATTGCCTCTGAAAACCTACTGGAAGGTCAACTGTGGATCAGTCCCATCTAGCTAGTGCTCAACCACCGCAACATTGTAATCTTATTCTAGCATGGTGGTGAATCTAACATCAACAGAGTAAATTTAAAATGGAGAGAAAGCATTCAGAGCTGTCAGTCATTGAGTATCTTGGTGTGCAATATATTTCCTCTTTTTGATAATCTAGAAAGGAAGTGAGAGAATTAAAAAAATATATTAACTTACCTTTCTCCACTGAAGGAACTCAGTGCTAACTCTTCATCACATTTTACCTCCACTGTCCTATAGGAACAACTGGTTTTAGATACATCAAAAATGACAAGATTAGTCACAAAATCTTATTTTCTCTTTACCAGGAAGAGAATTATGACATAGATTTCACTACCTAAAAGTTCTAGAAGTCATTCTGATATATATATATATATA